TTATGAAATGTAAGATTGATGTGTTTGTAATTGATGTATTCTATGAATAACATACTAAACAATAGCAAACCAGAAAATCAATTATCTAAGAAACGACTTTTTTTCAAACTTTTGAACGGTGTAAGTTTTAACGTTACAACGATAAATTTTCAGGTTTTGAATGCTTCATGTTAATTAAAAGGATATTTAGTGTTTAGTCAATAAAATAACTAATAAATAAATTTAAAAGTCTAATTGCCGGGGTTATTGCCGTTTATTGTTTTGCTCTTTGTTGCTTTATGATTTTTGTGGCTGATAGAATAATTTGTACCTTAAATTCTAAAAAAATTTCTTAATTCATAATTTACCTGCGGAAATTCGACATAAATTTTGTGAAACAGTTTAGCTACGTAGTACTCGTTCTTGGTTGACTGGGCATCTTTGTAAAGCACAGGACGATTAAAACATGACGAAATAAATATGATTGTAAGTGAGATTTTGGGCTTTAGGCGACGTTCTGCTCACCTTGTTCGTGAATCTCTGCTAAATGATTTGCGTAGAAACGTAATCATTTGTCGAGCTTCGCTCAGTGCCTCATGTGTCATGTACACATTGCCATGCATCACGTGACTGATGGTAAACAACGGAACTGTAATAGCAGTCTCCGCTGACCTGGTGACTTCACGTAGTCATTGTAATAAAAAATTTAATGGAAATTTCTAAAATCCACAAGATAGATAAAGGTTTCTTACTGTGCCATCAAACGACTTTCCATCTATTTGTGATCTGAGCGGATGAATGAAATAGTCGTTATGGACAGACATTCTGATGATGTAAGTTCAAATTCAAGGTCGTGGGACTGCATATTATTGGCTTCGCATCAGTCAACGCTTAAATGAACGTAATATTGACGTAATTGATAGCACGTTTTTATGGCAGCTTCTGTCAGTGACAAGGAACATGGAATTATTTATTCCCTGACTTCAAGAATTTTATGTGTATCTATTCCTCATATGCAAATACGTATAAAAACATTAAACATACTTGATTCTGATCTGCTACTGAGAATCTGTTTCCTTCAGCTTTAATAACGATTACAGCGGTAAGAATTGCTACGTCGTTACGTAACACTGCTGACTTAAGCAGCTGTGTTGTAAGGTAGGCCTAATATACTTATGCCAAACTCAGCACTTGCAAACTATGAATGCTCTGAAGTTGACATTACATGAATGGTTTAAGATATTTTGCATGTCTTTCCATTTCTAGATAATAGCCATAAACCGGTGTATTAATGATTATTGTGGCTGAATCCATAGTCTTAATTCTTATTTACGATTGTGGAAGATATGATAAAGAGATTTTACTGTTTTTAGAGATTTTATCATGATATAGCGCAAGATCCGTCCGTCCGTTTGAGTTTGTAAGTGGTGTTTTTCTCGTAGACGGAGTTTTCTTCTTGATATCTAAAGATCTTCCATTTCTTTTATTGCCTTTCTTTCGTTAGCCTTTCATTTCTTTGCCCATGAGAAGCTTTCATTTATTCCATAACGTGTTGATGGATTTAATATGCTGTAGTTTGCATAAGCAGAACTTATCTGGTTTGTGATGTCTTTTACTGCATTTGCTATAAGGCACCGGCTGCTGCATCGCAGAAAAATATATTCCTCTACCTTGTTTTCCAAAATATATTCCTCTATCTTGCATGGTCTTCTGGTCGACGTCTGCGATGCTTTGGCTGGAGTAGATGGTTTCTGCTCAACTAGTACATCTAACAGGGCTAACCTTATTTTTCTAATCAACGCGATTGTTGAGGTCATTTGCACCTGGAAGAAAATGGAATCATACCTTTGTGGTTCCGCTCTTTGACCTTCATTATTCGTCGAAGCCAATGTTATCTGTACAGTTCAGCCTTCAGCTGGAATCGTCCTTCGAAGAAATAAAATAGCCGTTATGGGAGCCTTCTCGATTTCGGCGTATTCTTCAGTCAACTGCCTGTCTCCAAGACAACATTTTCTTTTGAGTAGACAGTAAGATAACACCACGACAAAACAGTGGGTTGTCCATCACCGCGTTATTTGTGACGAAAATTATTAAATTCTCGGGGAAAGCACTTTGAAGTCCACATTTTTGGAACTAAGAAATCGAGCTTTTCTATCATCCCTTTCCGCCATATTTGATTAACTTTGGAAGAATTCAACATAGGCATTCTTCACCTTGAGATTCAGTTACTCCTTTTCGATTTCTAGTTTTTAAGGTGGTCTACGCTGACCTCTAGTGTTGGTATGAAATTAGCGATGGGAAGGGGTAACCTGGGGAACAGCTCTTGAGTAGCTGTTGGAAATGCTCAGCTCATATTTAAGGCGTTCTTTGTTGTTTGTAAATGGGGCACAGAGTCTTGGGTAAGGGCATATCAAATAAATTTCTGCTTACTAGACAGCTATCTACTACTTCCAACAGTGCGGGCGGTCATCCTCTCCTACTTCCTAATTTATTTTCCCAGTTTCACCATCCAGCCAAATTCTCCTCTTGCGCCTGTAGCTCTGGTTCACTGCACGGGACGGCAATAAGCTGCTTTCGAGTGTGCGGTAAAGTGTTGCAAGTATTTCTTAGCTTGGTTCCTCTGCCCTGTAAGGGCGAAGGCGTTTTCCGTAAGGAAAATTCATTGCTATTTGACTCTCTTCTTGATCTCATCTACGTTTTTCACGGAGGAAGATACACGTTTCAAGTCTTTATTAACTTCATCGACGTTGCCACTTCCTCTCTCAGCATTAAGGTTGACATTAAAATAACGTCCTGTCTCCGTTTGCTAGACCGACTGCGCGACTTCATCGTACTGTTGCCTGCCAACTTCGAGAGGCTTTGTTTCAGCCTGGCTCTGATGGTGTAATACGGTTGTGAAAGTTCTGCTGTAAAAGCTGACACAGCTGCGAAAACCGAATAACCGCAAATGCAAGAAATTGGCAAAGTTGTCTGGAAAACAGTCTTTTACGTTAAACGCCTTATTACTTAATGGTCTTTATTAATCTATTATCACTGTATATTTAACCCTTCTTGAAATTTCGGACTCTCGAAACTGTGAAGGCAGTTTCACGATCTGGGGATCTAAACAGTCATAACTATGCATTCCGATGACACTGGAGTAATTATGTAAGGCTTATCAGAGAAAATAACACGATGAAAATAACGATTTTCAGCGTTACCAGAAATTGTGCAGTGATTTTTCATATGCCATTTATTAATGTTATTACATAGAAAAATCAACAAATTTCTGATGTAAAATATGGCATTTAAATGCTGAATATTTCGTTCATCCATCGGTGATCCTACTGAAAACTGTATTAAAACAGTTTATTCGTACTTCGGAAATCAACCTTGTCTGTTTTGAAGAAAGTCCGTGAAACAAGTCGAAACATCAATACTGGTTTATCACCTGATTGTCCATTCTGTTTACTCTGTGTATGAATAAACTGTTATTAGGTTTTTGCATTGAAATGTTATTAGTTAAAAATTACGTATTTATACCATTACTTATGAGATTCACTTTGAGCCGATTATCTCGTAATTAGCAAAGTAGCCCTTAAGCTAGTGAACTTTTACATGATCATTTCACATAACCTGTTTTGGCTGCCTATGTTCTTGAAGTTTCTGATTTGGTTGAAAGCCGACCCTCATCTGACACAATAACTGATTATTTGAAAGATGATCGTAGCAGCGCATCGAGCAGTTCTTCCGCGCTAAAGGGTTTTATCTTTAGGCGACAGGAACAGTTGCCGTCATATTAAGATGGCAATGCATTCCTGTTGTGATAGACAGTAGTAATCATTGTAACTTTGTACAATCTGCGACTGTAACCACGCATTACCGTCCGGACCTGTGCCTCAGCAATGCTGGCCGCCCTTTTGTGCAGTTGCGAATTGCTCTGATAAACTTCCTTACACCCATCATGTTTTACATTTGATGCTCTGTTAGCCGACCAGTTTCACTGATGAACTGAAAGTGATATACTGGGACCTGCGTCGATTCATGACTGACAGATGAAGTATAACTTTCCTTAGCCTTGTCGGCTTGCTATGCAATTTCATCAGGCAACTGATGGCTCTCGACAACGTCTGGATCAAGTGACATCTTGTAGAATATAAGCGACCTGTAAACGAAATTACATTCGTATAAACATTTCAGGTGTAATATGGTATGGAGCATTTCAAAATTAGTACATTATCGTCATCCTTCAATTGACGAACTGATAGAATCTTCGCAAAGAATTGGATCCTGTTGAGATTTTCACTACAGATCTTCGAACTCAGTGTTAGACTTAGGCAGCCTGAGGTATTTTTGACGAAAACACTTATTTTCAATGCGGAATTTTCAGTGCAGTTACATAGTACTGATTGATTACGTAGATGTCGAAATTTGGACATACTCACTAATGTAATAACAAGTGATAACGTAATTTTCTAATGTACCCATAATACGTTCGCAGTAGGGGTGTTCTTCGAAACTATTTTTCAACATTCTAAACATTGGTTTAAAATAAAAATTTGGAAATAGTTATTTGAATAATTTTAAATTTAATCGACAGCAACATCCGCAACGATCTTATATTTCAATGGAGACCCACCTTTAGGCAGGGTTATACCTGGCGTAGTTTTCCTACCATTGCTTTGTTTCCAGAATTGAGTGTTCTTTGTGGATTTTGAGTGCTTTAGGTATAAATTCAAGGTTGTAATAGTATGTTGATGAATTTGTAGCAGGACACGAACATGAGTTCAATTTAAATACGTTTATTCCCAATCCAGTTATGCAACGATCTTGTAAGTTAATTCCTTCCTCTTAACTTAGTTTCTTTTCGGTTCTACCGTGACTGCCTCCAAGATCTTCCTTGCGAACGATGCTGCTTTCTTCTCATTGTATGGCACGGTTATTTAGTATAGTGTTTGGCAGCTGCAGATCCCGTCTCAACTGCTTTCCCAAGACAAGCCCTCTGTTTACTGCTCCGGTTCCTGAACTTGGTTTGTTCTTCGATAGTTCTGGATTTTGATTTATTTCAAAATCGAAACAAATCCATCTTTTTCTGGGAAGGGCAGTACATGCGTAGGAACATGTGTCTGTCGATTTACCATTATATTTGCTTTTTAACTGGGATCTTACCTGAAACAGTTGTATAGATGTTGTAATCACTGGAAACGTACGCGTGAAAGTAAATCATTATTTCGAAACGTTGTTAACTGTGCGTTTTAATTCTGTGATGTTGGTCCTTTGTCAATCGATTAAAGATTTATTAGTTTGTGCAGCACAGTTGTTATGAGCAAAAACGATAATATTTTGACACTAAGCATGGTATGTAAAACGCTTTTACAGAATCTATCCACTGCGCTGATTATGATATTCCGCGGTTCTAGTTATGTCCCTCAAAAGGATTCAGTTAATTTCTCTGTTAACCACTTTGTTTCAAATTTAACTCGATTTATTATTTTTTGAACAAATTGGTTCGAATTTTACTATATATTTTCTCTGAAATCAACTTCTGTTTCAAATTTTATCGCGAGTTATTTTCTACCTGAGCATATTGGTTCCAGTTTACTGCAGTAGGTTGCTGGCAGCGGTGGGGTTAAGAAATTACTGCGTTTTGGCATCCTCTGAGCATGTGGCATATATATGATTTTTTTTAAGAGATTCCCTGTATTGTCTCATATTTTTACCACTGTTACTGTTCACTTAGCACATGGGCCGGCAGTCTGCTGCTTGCGGATCCGGTACCGGCTGAGATTATCCTTCACGACAAATTTTACTTAAATAAAATAAACATTATTAATACAACATTATTATACGTGTAATGAAGGAAGTCCATGAGCTGTCGCGTCTAAAGGCCGTATCTGATTATTTTGAATCGCAATGATTAAATGATTAAATAAGATGAGAGGTTTTATTGTAATGCGTTTTTAATTATATTTTGCAATTAAATGTGTAAAAATCAAGTTTGTGTATTTTCGCTTATAAAATTTTATTTTTCACGTTTATTTTCTGATATATCGTAGGTTGCCGGTAACGCCATTGTTGATTCCTTCTCACGGGATTTTAATGTATATGAAAGGAAGAAATGCTTAAAGCTATGTTAAAATTATTAAAAATGAAGTTTTTCTATCGTTCCACAGTGTAACAGTCCTGGAAAGAAATAACAGCATTGACAAACTTTAAAATTCAGTTGTGGTTGGTAGCGCTGTTGAAAAGTATGGCTGAGTCCGTGATTTCCCTATACAAAGATAATTTAATCGTAAACCTCGCTTACAGTTTGTGATTTTTTCTTAACATTTACTGTTTAGCGTCATGATTGACTTCTATTTAAATTCTGGTTGTTTATATTCTGAACCTTATTTTTAATTAAATTGTTCGTCAAGCTTGTTTTAACCTTGTGTCCTTTCTTTTGGTTTGCTTCCTTGATCTGTCGTGCAAAGTTACATAATTTCCTTAAAGTTACCATCTAAAATTCGAGATAGCCTCTGACAACAGAATCGGCTACTTTTTTTCCCGTATTTAGGTTTTTTGATATATCTGGGTAAACTCTATTTAAAAATCTATTACAGTCAGAGAAATTTGAGCGGCATCCTGTTTTATGGACATAATATGTCACTCTTTTAGAGAGAATCGTCAACAAGGTCAAGTGCCAGAAATGTAGTTACTTAAGTAATAAAATATTTTAAAACGGCATTAATCTGTATACCGAAGGGTTCGCATTGAAGCCTCAGCCACCGTGAAACACAGTCGTTGTATCCATAAAGTGAGGCTTATGTTTATTTTAGTTACGGATAAGAATTAGTTCAGACTAGGCTGGGCTGCAGTTTGCAAGTTTGGATAAGGTAGATTTCTTAGTCGCAACTGAACTTGAACCTGTCATACCTGTTTCATGTTTGATTTACTCTATCATTTATTTGTACTGTAATTAGTTTACTTCAATTCTTTATATTCGTCTGCATCGCTAGAATTTTCCAAAGGTTTTACTCCACTTACGCGGAACAGACGGTTTGAAGATTTTGGTGATGAATTACTAATATCTCTTGTATGCCATCTGACATTACGGTCACATCGTATATTATATCGTAAAACGTTGACGCTCGTTTAAGTCTTACACTTTGAATTGAGGTGAAGGAGGCAAATTATTTTCTGTCACTGAATGAATCTTTGAAAGCTGCCTCCTTAATTAATTGCTGAATTGTCTTGAACATTAATTTTCAAATATACCGCTGCTTATAATAGCTATTTCAGCTGTCACTCAACTTGCCGCTGATTCTTCGTCCCCAGCTCCGCCATTCGGAGGAATGCGTGGGGCGGGGATGAACTACATGAATCATATGGGCGGCCCGCCATCGCAGCCGGTTTCATCGGCCATGCCACAGTTTCCACCCGTTCAACCGCGGTCACCTTATCCTCCGATGATGCAGCCTCCGCATTCAACGTCGATGGGAGGAAACGGACGCGCCGCCGGCATTTGGACCCCTGATTCCGCAAATTCAGTGACTTCTGAACATTCGTTCCTTCAGGATGCGGGTTACTCTTCCCGTTTCTCAAAACCTCCTCTCTTAGGTCCCCGTTTTCCAATGGAGCGTCCTGATGCAGTGGCGGGACCTGGTAGCCTCAGTGCCGGATTCAACAGATTCCAGCCTCCGGTAAACCGTGCGAGATTTTCCTCTCCAGACATGCATGAGTTGCCCCCACCGGACATGTATCGAGGGGGGCCAAACCGCGATGAAGATAGCAAGGGAGAGTTAGAAGCCTTTACCCCTGAACGAAGGCAGAGAAGAACTCGATGGTCCTCAACGTCGAAAGATCGAAGCGCCGAATCGAACGACGAGTCTCTTCATTTTAACGATAGCGAAGCACTGAACACTTCAATAGCTCCAGAAAACTGTGACAAACATGCAGACGATGATCAAATGCACGATTACTCGCCACCAGAATCATTTTCTCGCTAAGCGTTAGTTTTAACAACCTGTTCATATTGTTAGTGATTGTCTAAATGGATTGAGATTGTCAAAAATTTTTGTAAATAATTTTCTTCATTCTGCTATAATGTCGCAGTTGTTGTAACAACTCTAGATTTCGGTTTCTGACTACAGTTTTTGTCGCAATCGGATGTACATATCGGGTATACGTACTTTACATTGGAACTACATCTTGATTTGAAGAGTGTTTTTTAGGTGTTCTCACAAAGGCTGTTTAGCTGACGAAGAGTCATACGAGTTGGAAAAATAATATGCTCTGGTTGGGTTGGTCGACTTTGTCTTTAGATGTAGCTAATCAGGTACAAATTTGTGGGAAAGAAAACAAGAGTCTTCATCGAGTTGGTACTTCGTGCCATTACAGCACGTCAGAAAAGGCTCCACGGAAACGACACCACCAGTGGGAGCTTAAAGTCGGAAATT